ACGACCACGCCAGTGTCGTCTCGACCACGCATCTTCGGTTTCCCCACAGTGAATGGTATATATCGATATCTGATCATGTGCTAAACAAGCAATTAGTGACTTAAATTCTTTCATAAACTGATTTGGAAAATGCTGTGTAAGTCTAGCACTCTACCGCAAATTCTTAAAAACTAGAGCAAAAATTTGACAATGCAGCAAGGATAAAAGAGAAAACTATGGAAACTTCAAAAGTAGTAAGTGTTATCAATAGAAAAATACAATGTATTTTTACCATGATTTGTCTTTTCATAGTGAGACCGAAAAGAATGATAAAATACATTACAAGAATCGGCCAAAAAACGGGTACATCAAATATGTCGAAAAATGTGCAAGTGATTGCTATTAGCGTAGCCTTCACGGTCGAAAGCCTGGATAAAACGAATACACCATTTTGCAAGAAAAAGTTACTGACAAGCAAAGAAACTTCAAACCATACCAGAATTTAAACTCAGGCAATCGCCTCATAAAAGGCCGAAATTCATCGCTGCCTTTTGATGGTAGTGTAAGGTTTTCGTCATCTTAAAAATCTACTTTTTATAGATGCTCCATTTATTACTGTTTCAATCCCCTTCGAAAAAAGTGGAGTTATTGAGGAAGCAGAACACGCATACCTTCATCTTCAAAGTTGAGCGCTGGATCTATTTGCGGAGTTAGGAAAGCAAGGAAAAGGTTCAAATAGTATATTCCTACTGCGTAAGCTACTATATAATATCCCTAAAACGAATTATTTTAGAAAAAATAGTGAAAGAAAAATAATTGCTCATGATAAAATAGTTAAACAGAACATCTACCAACGCACACACACACATACACATATACAAAATTCTAAAAAAAGACGAGTAGCTTATATTACTGAAGAGAACACGTAAAAAAGACTGATAATGCACTATATTACTTGAACGTCGATAATCCTCCAGAAAAAAAGAATTATCAAAGCAATTGCTATACCCCATCGAATAGAACCATACGGCGTTAAACTATCCAGATAGTACTGGTATTTCTGTAAAGGATTAACTAGCATCATAACCAGTAAACACCCGGAAACGAGGAAACTAACATTATATATTATAAAATAAGGCTTCGCCCAAATGAAATCATAAATACGAAAAAAAAAGTTCCATTACCATTGCAACCATGCTGCATATCCGACTACAGATATTTGGAGCATCTCGAATATCGTCATTTTCATCCATCTTCGTATCCAATTACCTGTAAAAGTGAATTATAATTTTTAAGAAAATCAAAATTATCAGAGAAAGAATCAGAGCACAACTAAAACTGCAGACGTCTCATGAGGACGAAAACGATTGAAGTATCTATTATTTATTAAAAAAGAAAAGAAATTTATTCAACATAATGCACTAATAATATATGCAAAAAAGAGGTGATAAACGAGCGCTGAACTTCAATTGGAGTGAATGAATAAGGTAAAGATGCTTTAGCAGATGTAAACAAAGTAATCAAGAAGGAAAACTACTGAACAAAACGGGTGGCTTATATTTCTGAAAGAAAATACTATCAAGAACTACTGGAAAAGAAATGTTGTGATAAACCGTCGAACATCCAAAAATAGGTGATACTCAAGCACTAAAAAGAAAGTGGTACTCGTCATGAACAAAAGCTGTTACACATTTGTTAACAAAAAACGATTAAACAACAGCCAAAAATATATTTCCCTCGGCAACTAATGGCCTCCATAAAACGAAGGTGTCTTATGGAGTAGTAAATAAAAAGCCAAAGAAAGAACTTGTGGCACACTCATCAGCAGCAACAGTAACAGAAAGCAGTACAAACTTGAAAAATTTTGAAAAGCGGTAGAAAAGGTGACAGTAAAAAAAGAAAAAAGTTAAAACAATGAACTGCTAAAAAGTTAGCTAAAAAAAAAGAAACTTTTACGGCAAAGAAACAACAACCGCGTCGTTACACCAGCGGCATTGTTGCCGATTAGTGAGAACTATGTTTTTTAATATTTGTTTCTGCAGTTACTTCTCAGCAGCAACGATGACGGCGACGACAACAACCATAACAACACGTAAAAGATGACGATGAGAATGGCAACCATGATGATGATGATGTTGATGATGATAATGGTGATTATAAATGAGGAACAAACTAGAAGGTCAGCTGCTAAGCCAGAAAAAAAAAAACTAACTAACGTGAATGGACAGAACGATGTAAACAGGAACTAAAATGTTTACAGTTATATTACTTCTTTAGCATAAAACAAGCAATAGAGGGGAAAAAGACTGATAACAGTGAAAAGAGGAACAAAATCGGCACTAACGATTTTTCAATCATTGTAAAAAATGCGACAACAATAACGACACAATAAGTAACATAAAGTGCTTAAGATTATGCAGTTCCAAAGGGGATTGAAGCAACTGGGAAGAACAAGGTTCTTTTCTTGTCTCTTTACTATGGGAAAAAAACAGCAGTACTATCCATTTAATTTTACTGTTTCTATGTCGCCGCTTTGTAATGTGGCGATAACAATAAGAGCAAGAAATAATGCTGGTTGGAATTTGGAGGAATACTGTCGTTAATGTAATTGTGATGGCGACAGCAATGACGGAGACGAAGACGACGACGATGACAATGATGGTGACAACCACAACGAGGATAACGAGTCAACGACGCTTTCTTCCCCTTCTTGGAGTATGTCACCAATGTTGTATACCAGTATATATTAACAGTTGTCAGAGGTACGGACAGATATAAGCGTTTGTATATGTATAATGAGCGCATGTAATATACACGGTGGGGGGGGGGGGGGGAAAAAAAAAAAAAAAAAAAAAAA